GTGACCGGTGGGCGGGTGCTGGTTCCGCAGGAGGAACTGCCGGGGGAACCCCAACTGCCTGGTGGGGATCGGGGAGCACGTCTGGCTGGGCGAGATAGATGAGAACAGCTTCCACAACATTGACGACCCCAACTGCGAGCGCCGCAAGAAGGTACCCCCTCAACCCCCCCCGAAAGCATCCCTCGCCCTCCCCGCGCCCGGCGGGGACACAGGGAGGTGACGCCTCGCGTCCCTCTGCACCCAGGGAGTTTGGGATGCGGCTGTTTGTGCCACACCGGCGCGGCACCTTCCCGACAAACAGCCGCAAATCCCGGCTGTGGGGTTTCTGCCTGCTCCCCGCCGGCGGCGAGCCACGACTCTTGCCTTTTCTCTTACACCAGAACGCGTTCGTGGGCTTAACGAATCTGGGCGCCACGTGCTACGTCAACACCTTCTTGCAGATGTGGTTTCTGAACCTGGAGCTCCGGCAGGCCCTCTACTTGTGTCCCAGCACCTGCGGCGAGTCCGTGGCTGGAGAGGGCATCCCGGGAGACAGAGGTGGGTGGGAGCTGCCAACCGGCCCCGTTTGCTCGTTTTCTCCTAAAATCTTACGCGCTGGCCCCGGCTTTGGGATAACGTTTGTCGGGAAAACCGATGGGTGAAGCTACAACCGCTCATCCACGCCGTTGGGTTTTTGAGTCCACCCCCTGCCTTTTGGGAGGAAACCATCCTTTCCCCAGCTCGTTTCTGAAATCATAGAATCATAGAATCCCAGACTGGTTTGGGTTGGAAGGGACCTTAAAGCCCATCCAGTTCCAACCCCCCTGCCATGGGCAGGGACACCGTGCACTAGACCAGGTTGCTCCAAGCCTCATCCAGCCTGGCCTTGGACACTTCCAGGGATGGGGCATCCACAGCTTCTCTGGGCAAATCGGAGCGATCTGGTCTGGTTGAGGAACCTGCCTGGGGTTTGTTTCTTGCCGGGCTGCTCCTCCGGCAGGTTCCCAGCTTCAGGATGGAGCTGGGGTGGGAGCACACGGGTTGGGGCTGATCTGTGCCACCGCAGAGCCGCACTCGTCCCGTGGGAGGACGAAAACTTAGGTCCCTGACACGAGCGAGACTCGCAGCGGCCTGGGGGTGACGGACCTCTGATGTGTCGTCTGGCGCTCGAGGTGCGCCCTGGGCCAGGGCCGCTGCCCGATTTCTCCTTTTCCTGTTTTCACCGCGGTTTGAAGTGACGTCTCGCTGTTTAGGGTAAAAAAGAAGCTGTTGCTGTGGGGTAAGTAGCGCACGCTGCTCGGAGTATTCACCCACGGCTTGTGCTAGGCCCTGCGGGATGTTCACGGTTGGACTCGATGATGTTAAGGGTCTTTTCCAACCTGAAGGATTCTGTGATACTTGGGCCTTTGCTGTCAGCACTGCCACAAATCATAGCATCATAGAATCACAGACTGGTTTGGGTTGGAAGGGACCTTAAAGATCATCTAGTTCCAACCCCCCTGCCATGGGCAGGGACACCTTCCACTAGACCAGCTTGCTCCAAGCCTCATCCAGCCTGGCCTTGGACACTTCCAGGGATGGGGCATCCACAGCTTCTCTGGGCAACCTGTCCCAGTGCCTCCCTACCCTCTCCAGGAAGAATTTCTTCCTGCTATCCAATCTAAACCTCCCCACTTTCAATTTAAACCCGTTACCCCTTGCCCTGTCACTACAGGCCCTTGTCAAAAGTCCCCCCCAGCTTCCTTGTAGCCCCTTCAGGCACTGGAAGGGGCAATGAGGTCTCCCCGGAGCTTCCCTTCTCCAGGCTGCCCACCCCAACTCTCTCAGCCTTTCATCACAGCAGAGGGGCTCCAGCCCTCGGAGCATCTTCGTGGCCTCCTCTGGACTCGCTCTGCTCCTCACGACAACCTAAACCAGCTTTCACAAAACATACTTTAACCATTAAATTTCCCCTTACAAAGAAAGAACGAGCCAGGTACCTGGAAGGGTCGCCTCCTGCCTGGAACGACTTGCCCTAACTCGTGCAACTTGCCTCAGCAGACTACGAGCCTCGGACCATTTGCGAGCACCTGCAGTACTTGTTCGCGTTGCTGCAGAACAGCAAAAGGCGGTACATCGACCCCTCCGGCTTCGTCAAGGCGCTGGGCTTGGACACGGGACAGCAGCAGGTCGGTTTGAAAAGCGCCCCCCGAGCAATTGCCGTCTGTCAATAGCGTGAAACTGCCTTTTTGTGTTGTTTTAGCACTTCTGGTCCAAACGCAAAGGGAGAAGCAGCGCTCCGGGCCCTTCCAGTCGGTGTAGGGCGTCAGGAGGAGCCCAGGGAGCAATGGGATGGGGACGAGGGGTGTTGTAGGGCCTCCCTGACCCTGGCACCCTGCGAGGTGGGAGCCGAAGCTGCCATGAGGGTCCTTCCACGGGTGCTGCGTGGGCTGCACCCCCGGGTGGGCAGTTCAGGAGGGGTTGAAGGGCTCTTGCAGGGCAAAAAGACTTGTGGTTGGATCACCGGGAGCCAGACAAGGTCCAGCGTGAGAGTGTGGGGCAGAGCAAGGCTGGATAGAGGGGGTGGGGAGGGCAGATGGGCCCTGTGGGGCAGAGAAAGGCTGGATAGAGAGGGGCAGGGGGGCAGACGGGCCATGTGGGGCAGAGAAAGGCTGGATAGAGAGGGGCGAGACGGGCCGTGCGGGGCAGACCAAGGCTGGATAGAGGGGGGGG